CGCCATGGAGTGCTCATCAGACTGCCGTTCTTCCTCAAAATCGTTACTGGGTCATGTGATTCTGAAGCTTCACTTTAGTTCGAAAAATCCTTCACTCATTTCCGTCGAACGGGTCTCTGCTGCTAATGCATAGTTCTTTAACAGTCTGTAGTCTCTGCTTTTGCACATCATCTGATCTGTAAAATCTAAGTGGAATTACACTTGTCCCTGTCCTTTAAGTCAGAATAAAAGGGGATCGAGTTGGTAGTTGATGCTAACATGAGCATTGGTGAAACAGCACAGAAGCATTACAAAGGATAGAGTTGAATCCTGCGGACAGTTATTGCCTTCCCAGCTCTTTCCCATTCTGGAGAGCAGTAGGATGTGGTGAAATTAAGCCTGGAGAGCCTGCTCCCTGAAATGCATTTCCATCACCTTGGCTGAGCGCTAAGAGAACTTGATTGCACTATGAAACCTTTTTTAAAACTCCTTGCATCCATTATCGCGCGGTTTAGTGCTAATAGGGCCTTTGCATGATTTAGTTGTCTTGAGGGTTTGTTCTGCCGCAGCGTAGCAAATCTTGTGGACGCCTGGCCTTATAGGACTGATAAAGTTCGCACAAGTTTGTTGAGCTTTTCGTGAAGATTAAAGATTAAGCTTATCGCTGGCATTGCAATTTCGGATAAGCTCTCTCCCCCCTCTGCCACGGAGGCGGGGTCTCTAATTTCACCTCTGTTGGTTCATTTCGGAGTTTAAAACAGGTTCTTGAGTTCTAAAGCTTCAGTTTAAACAACAAGCCACAACGACAAAGTCTGGAATGTCATTTACTTTCCAAGAAAGCAATGCGTGACAATTCGCCATTGACAGACCGCAAGACGATGCATCCCACATCTTTCCCCTCCTCCCTCCTCTATAGGTACAACGCATCGGAGTACTTTGCAGAGGTGGTTGCTCAGTCGCGCGGCTGGTTGTCGGCAGTTCAAGAGTGGGTTAGCGTCTTTCTCACCTGTGTCTTCGCCTTCGTTTCCACTATCATCCTATGGAACTCCCTGGGAGCTGTGGTGTGGTTCTTTGCCCTGCGGTAAGCGTGATTGTCATCATCACCATCGTTGTCTACCTTCTCTATTGACTTTTCTCGTCCATTCACCAACTATGTCTTTTTATGGAAGACTTGGCACTCACCTTTCTCAATAGATG